CCCCCCAACTTACACACGCCCGCCGTTGGTCCAGTAGGGTTTAATGATGATATTAAAAAAATTTACCTCAGTGACCTCGTCCAAGCTCAGCGAACACCCCCCAAAGATACATACACATATCTTAGCTCAGGAAATTAGAAGTTCTATACGGGTTGTTTCAATTTAGCTCTCAAGTAGACCGGCCACAACACAGCCGGTTGTTTACAGCAGCCGGTCACAGAAAATTTAGCATTCTAATAGTAAACATTACATATGGCTCGTTTATACATTTGTTCAGTAACATTTTTACGAGATTTTTCTCTTATTAATAATAAACGCTTAATATTACAAAAAATTCTTCAAAAATACCATTATTACGGGGTTTTGGGAAAAGGGGAGTGTGCGGAATAAACTCCACATTTCCAGGTTTGTAGACGTCGATTCGAGCTCGATTCGAGGCCTTTTTGTTTTTCGCACTTTTTTTCTATTTACGAGCCCAACGCCGTAGCTATCTAGCCACCGCATTAAACTATTTCAACAAAATTATACGACTTTTTGTACTTAGTTTCACAAAGTCCTTTTCTCGTCCATCCGTTTTCCCCACCCACGGTACCCATAAGATAGAAACCTGGGGCTTCTTGTATGCAAGACCGCTACCAATGATACTTCTGCCGAACTGTTAATACCAAGTCCGTCGGCTACAAGGATCGATAACTATCCTGCTATTGCACGGAAGCCTTGATTTCGGGCCTCAAACGCGAATACCTTAAGCCTATAACGTTATGACTTACATGGCCTAACATTCAACCTCAGGTATACAATAAAGTCCCAAAGTTCTGCAAATATTCCCATTTTTAAATTGAAAATTCGATGTTTTCAGCAACTCTTCATAGGGCCAGTACATTTAAAGGGCTAATGAAAATTGTACAGATAAACAGGGTTAATAAGTATACTTTGATTACAACTCATCATTTTCAAGACGCCCGCATAGCGAGATTGACGTGTTAAGGTCTTTATGCTGGAGGAAGGGAGGAAAATGGGTTAGGTTATGGCCATTGGTGGGGGATCAGGTACATAAAGTGATCATTACTGTAATTTGCACAAGGCGAACGACTGTCACTAGGAGGTGGGGGCGATGTGCGATCGCTACCTGGCGTCAGGGTGGGCCACGGAAGTGGAAGTGCTTGTGTTAGCATCTTCTGGCAACACAGCACTGGATTCTCTAGCCGTATAACCTCTGCTTCGGTTGTTGCAAGCACCCGTTGGCGTAGGCCCTTGGAAAAGTTAGTTTTTATCCGGTAGACATCCTGAAAAGGCTCCATAAGTACGTCCCGATGATTCTTATCGACAAGGTTTGCGAGAATAGAACTCGAGATTGATCTTCTTTCACCTTTAGTAACTAGGCCGGTATGTGCTCACGTACCCTCTTTTCCAGGCGCCTCGTTATTCGGTCGATGTATCCTGCTCCACAGGAGCAAGTTAAAGAGTACGTGTACATGGATGTGGCCTTCAACGGGAGTCGGTCTTTACCTCCCAATCATAGAAAATGAGTTTTCGTGAAGGTGACGTGCAAGGTCGTCGCGGTGAAATCGCTTGTGTTTGCAGTCTTCAGGCATCGTCTTACCAGCTCGCTTGTTGCATCGCCTGAGGGAGGCACTCTTATGAACACGTCCTTCTTTTCTGCGGTTAAGGTAGCAGGCTTTTTTGGCACGTCCACCGATATTCTTGAGGATGAACCTGTCTGGGTATCCATTTTCAAGAAGCGTGTTCTGCAGCTGTTTTAGTTCTTCTTCGACAGTTTCAAGTGAGCAGATCCGTCGTACTCTAGCTGTTAATCCCTGGACTAGATTTCGTTGTATATTAAGGGGAACGGTACAGCGAAATTAACTGTAGTGATGTTGATAAGTTGTAATCAAAGTATACTTATTACCTCTGTCCAAATGTATAATTTTCATTATCCCTGCAAATGAAAAGTTGCTGAAAGCATATGCTTGCTAAAACAAATTTTAAAAAACTCACAAAGTAAAAGACCAAGGAATCTGTATAGATGCTCCATTTTTACAACACACTTTTTAATAAAGTAAAAGACTGGTCGAGCACCAGAATAATTCACGTTTAGTTCTGAAATTTTAAATTCGTACAGCAATTCATCGTCAGCGAAGGCAGTAGCAGAAAAATAGGCAACAATAAGGGGGCTTGAAGGCAAATTAATTACTAAGGGCGCACGCCTGGACGTGACTGCGCAGGACTCTGCACGCCGGGGATAAATCCATACATCGGTGCAGTGAGTTCCCATCCGTGGACCAGACTTCAATCGATTGTCGGCTAGTCTTGTTTCCGAAGTGGGCGATTATCTTGACAAATGCGAAGAAGACCTCATGACGCCTTCCGTAGACGTGAGTACGATTTGCGATAATTCGTCACCCCGCTGCACAGCCAGTTTATATAGGTGCGATCCGAGCATGCGTTCATTTTGACCTGGTGTAGTTCAAATGACAACTTAAGCATGAGATGCGGTACACTGACCCGGATTGTTCTTTAGTCGGTCTTTGATTTTAATCCCACCGCTGCGTATGGTCGCACTCATGCACATTTTTGGCCACTGGCTAAGGAGGATTTGTTTTTTCCCTTTTTAAACGAATATCCCGTAAGAAAAGGTTTTTACTTTTCTATGGACAATGGGACCCATTGACTGAGATGGCAATAGTGTGCTTCAGAGACACCTATAACCTATTTTAGGTGCTTTTCATAGCTTCCGTTTATTTGGGACGTGTTGAAATGGCCGAGTACTTCTGGACTCTATGCCGATCGCCACTTTGTCTTGCTCTCATTGCATCCTGCATCTTCCGTACACTTGGCGATGATTTGGCCTTTGACAGATTTCAGACGTTGGCCAATGCCGTCGCAGAGGAGGGCTTCAGCATAAATGCAGTGAGTACCAACTTTATAGTTCTGTTGTGTTGTAGTAACAATGTATAACTTAAATATTCTGTGTAATCAGGAAAACGGGTTAGTATATTTCTCGACCTACT